TTATAAATTATTCTCTTTTTTTTTGCATATAAACATGCAAGCGATTTCTCTCGCTTTCTCGCCGCTTTTATTCTAGCAAAACGAGTTTAGAAACAAAAATTTGCTGACATCATCATATGAGCAACTTTTTTAATTGCAGCAGCAGCAGCAGCAACAGTAAAAATATGTGAAAACGAACTTCTAACTGTGCAGCTCAAATTCTTTTAATCAATATCAATCACATAATACTACATAATACATATTATAGTTCCACACAGCTGAATCATCGCCTAGCGTCCCGCATGCCGCTCGGACGGAAAGCGAAAATCAAACTCAATTCAATGACGCCTTAGTCACTTGATCGACCCGATCGTAGATCGTATAACCGAGATGGCGGTGCCTGGTAGTCGACGCCTCTATGACACAGCCCTCCCCCGACCGATTCGTGATCCACGATATAGTTTCAACTCATAGTATTACGAATATAGATGACGAATGTACAAACCGAAATTAATGGAAAGAGACGGAGCCAAATACAGTTGACATAATTTCTCTTGTTCTTGTGCCCCTTGTACATTTTTCTTTTTTGCGCTCATAAGCTGATAAGAAAACGCTCTAGAAACACAGTCAACATTTTGCTTTTGTTTATGGAACTATTTTATCGTACACTTTGTGTCTTGCAACTTGTTCTTGTTGTTGCTAAACGAACGTGACGGGAGCTACAAATTTGCTGATAAGTAGTAAGTATATATGTATGTATGTGTATGTGTGTATATGCGTATACGAATATTAGTTGAATTCTGGGAATTCACCATTATTACATTTAAAATGCCTGCGGTTTTCACAGAATTCCAAGTACAAATGCCATCATGAAATCTTAACAAGCTATACACACAGATTCATATATTAGTATGTACTATATGTGAAGAGTGTATAACTTTATAGAGGAAACAATTGAACTATTTATTTAGTTTATGGCTTAGTTTATAGAGAACAACAATTTGGTATTGTGTATGTTCAAGTTTTCCCAAGAACAACTTTTTTTTATTTTATACCAATAACCAATTTTAAGTATTGTATTTCTCATTTATAACAGTTTTTTTTTTTTATAACAGATATATTTTCTAGCTAATGCAGTCCGTAGCTGTTTTATATAATTCACATTTGGGATCCTTTGCAAATACTTTTCACAAATTTATTGACATAAATTTGATATTTTAACTAATGTGCCTTTTCAATTAGGTTTTTTCAATAAGGCTAAAAATATTAAATTACCAAAAAATGAAGAATGAAACCTTAAGCTATTTATAGAAGTTCATTGGCATGGGGAACACGAACATATGTAGAGATACACACATGTGTAGGCCTTAGGTCATATCTGGAAAGGAATCAGCTTTGACAACGTTTTCAATAAAACTAATGAAAATTGTTTTTTAGAGGCAGCTGCTGCTTTAGGCATGTTTGTTTCCTTTTCTTTCTTCTTCTTCATTTTCATATAGTGTTGTATTTTTCTTTATTTCTTTCATATACATATGTACAAGTATATTTTCTTATTTATTTTGTGAATATGTGATTCGTATGTGATTTGAACATTTTCCTGTGTTATTTTTATTAGAGCGCTGCGTTTTCTTTTTTGCCTTGTTTTTCTGTTTGTATTTTATGTTGGATTTGCATTTTCAAGCACGTACGAAATAACAACAACAAAAACACAAATTGTTGACGCCAAAAAGCAACCCCCCAACGGGCGCAATGAGAGAAAGAGGGGTGCGGGCACATTGATAGAGAAGGGAAGGTAGACAGTCAGTCAACTTGGCTAACAAATTGCTGTGTTGTGCTCATATCCTGGCAGAAAGTCCAGGAAGTTGTCGACGCCGCACGATAAGTGCACGCGTAGGGCAGGTTGGGGGGAAAGTAGAGGGGGATGGCGGGGCGGGAGGACTGTCAAACAGTAATGATAAAAATAAAAGAAAAAGCAAGTATGTAAATCAAAAATTGCTAACAAACCATAAAAGCGTCGGCCAGGTCATAAAACCTGAAAGGCAAAGCGTTAAAAAAGATGAGCCAAGACGAAGAACAGCAAGAAGAAGAACAGCAGTAGAAGAAACCTCCTATTCACGTCAACAGTTTTTATTATATATACATACATACSTATATATCGATATATATTTCTTTTTTTGGTTATGTTCTGTCTCGTTCTCTGCTTTACTTCTCCTGCCTCTGCCTCTGCCTGGACACGTTTTGTGTTTTTATAACTTTTACTTTGTTACCGAAATAAAACAAAGGCGGCCGCCCTTAGGGGATGTTACTGTTGTTGTTGTTGTTGTTATTATTTGCCCAGGCAGGTTAACGATGTCTGTTAGGTGAGACAAGTGCACAAGAGCGAGATAGCACGCTGGGGAAGCAGAGTGGGAACGAGCAGGCAATTGAGAGAGTACCAACTACAATGTCGAAGAGGGTGCAATGACTGCAACTTTTAGCGTCCGTTTGGCAGTGTCTGCGTGTGTATATGAGTGAGTGTATGCGTCTCTATGTGTGTGTACGTGTAAAGGAGAAAGTCCCGTTGAAGCTGCTCTGTCGCGCCCCCCCCCCCCCCCCTTTTTGGACCCAGTTCTAAAGCTTCTGCATAGTAATTTTACCGGGGGTTGCGAACAGACAAAGATACAATGTTTAAAAATAAAATACAATGAAAAAAAGAAAAGAGAAATAAAGGAGACAGGGAGGGAGCAGGAAGGAGAGAGGAGGGAGTGGTAGGGTTGGGCAACTACGTGACACCGAAAATTCGCGTCAAATACATTGCCCTCACAAAAGGGTTTAACCTTGGACTTCAGCTGGCTAGAGCGGGAGACAAAGAGAGGGAGAGCGAGCAAGCGAGAGGGGCAGAGCTAATCAGGCGCTGGCTGTCACGCGGCGCGCCAAGTCAGCGGGCGGGGGATCCGCTTGCTGCACTCTTTCGTGCATGACACTAACACAAAATGTGTGGCTGGCTGACTAATCGACGCAAAGAAAAAAAAAAAACAAAACAGCTCGTGATAAGTCAGAAAACTCAACTGAAATAAAATTCGAGGCAAAGCCCAAATACGTTTGCATAAAATGGACAAAAATACAAATAAAATAAAGAGCGAGTCAAGATAAGTGTGGAGCATGAGTACATATTTACATATATATGTACATATAACTGCTTCTACTGTTGTCGTTGGTATCGGAATTGAATTTGTACTAACCTCAAAAATGCTGAGCTGATTAACCCACTGGTAAGCCTAGAAACAAATGCAAAATCGTACGTACATATCAGACAAATGAGAGAGACACAGATGGGTTGTTGTTGAAGAAGAAGAATAGCTCGCCATTCGTCATTGTAAATACAGACAAATGCAAAATAAATACATATACATGTATGTATGTACACAAAAGTGAATACAATGTGAAATGTTGACTTGTTTAATCTACTTCAAGCTATACGTGATAGTCGAATTGTTTTATTACTTTCTTTAAATACTCTTTACTCAAGAATTCACTCAAATTGACCGGTTTACATATATGTACATCAATATATACACGGTCTTGCACACACACACAAGCATACGTCTCACTCACTAAATCAGCTGATTTACAAACACTCAACTTAAATTTTAAAGCTAAAATAAACCGCTATAAAATTTGCAGTTAAATTGCGAGAGTAAGCGTGTGTTAGTGTGTTGCTCACGCTCTTTTATGTGTGTCTCTCTCTCTTTGTCTTCTCCTCCGCCTATCACTCGCCATGTCTAATTCTTGATGCTTGGCATTTGAACAACGGTTAAAACTACTAAAAATAATACAACTAAAAGCTGTTAAACATTAATCGCACAAAAGTTTAATAAAAAGCCGCAACGAAAATTTTGCAAACACATACACGCACAAGCACACACACATAGACCAAAACTGACGGCTGTGGCTCATTTAATTTTTCACACAAGTAAGCAACAATACAAGAACAACAACATTGCCAAAATCAGGGTAATAAATTTTATTTAAGCGAAATTCGCCAAAAATGCTTTGCTTTGCTGTTGCTTTTCTAGTTGTTGTTGCTGTTGTTGCGGCAGACATTGAACTTTATTATGCCGCTATTTTTTTTATATTTTTTTTTTTTTACGAATTTCACTGTGTGGGCGCTATTCGCAGCAAGAGCGAAGCGAAAAACAAAAAAAGACAGCAAAAAATTGAAATAAAAATAAAAGGAATAGACAATTGAGAGCGGCACACGCACGCAGAAAAATAACACAAAATGTAGTTGGGTTATTTGTTATTAATTATTCCCATTACTTGCGAGAGCGGCCGACAAAGAGTAAAATTGAGCTTGAGAGTCTATTTAAAATGATGCCCTTTGGGCAATTGCTTTTATTTACTTTGTTTTGTGTTTGACAGCTGCTGCTGCGGCTATAGAGCGATGACGACGTCGACGACGAAGACGAAGACGAAGGCGAGGAACAAGACGTGGATGGCGTTTGCTTTTTGCCGCTGCTTCTTCACTTTTCTATTGCACACACACACACGAAAAATTCGCAAGAGCGTACGCACGCACACAGCTGCACAAAGCTTTCTGCTGTTTACAAACTTTTGCGACGTTTTCAAGTGCGCTCCGAGACGTGGACGTAGACGTAAACGTCGACGCTGGCAGCGACGTAAGCAGAGAGTGTACGAGAGAGACCGCGATGGCGACTGCGACTGCGATGTCGGAGCGGCGGCAACGTAAGCTTTAACTATTTTTCTTGACTTTACTTTTTTGTTTTCGATGTGTGTATAAAAAATATGTATGTATTTTTTGCTTGCTTTTGCCCACTGCTGCTGTGGCTGCGGCTTTTTTCCTTCTTTTTTTGCGAAATGCTTTAATAACTTTCTATTGCTATTTTTATATTTTTAATGGCGTTTCACAAACTACACACACACTCTCACATACATACATATATACAATGACAGACTGAGAGACGAACTACGACGACGACGAAGGCAATATAGGGAAACAATGAAAAAACCGCAAATACGATAATATTTCACTACCTTATTGTTACAATTTGTTATTAAATATTTTCGCAATATTTTCAATAGTTGCTCCTCTCTGGCTGATGAATTTGTTGTTATTGGAGTTGTTTTTGTTGTTGCTGTTGACGTCGAGGATGATGACGAGACGACGTCAGCTTTAAGTTAAGCACACGCAATATACACACACATTCACATGCACAGGGAGAAAGAGAGGCAGAAACGAATAGAGACGAGAAACTGTATGCACAAACACAGTTAGCTAGCTAAAGTTGTGTTKTTGTTGTTATTGCTGCTGCTGCTGTTGTCGTTGACGCGTACACGTAGCAAAATTTTGCGAGCTTTGAACAAACAGAACRTACGAACGAACGAACAAACAGTGACAGTGTCCAGCCCAGCTGATTTCAATTTTGTTTGAATTTCTTCGCTTTGAACCACGCGCACAACGAACTGGCCACGACAAAAATTAAAATGAAACTGAATGGCAATTTCAAAGACAGGCGACGACAAACACAATCCAGAAACCGGTGGAGAGCAGTCCATGCGCAGTGCTCAACCAAAAAGAGAGTGCGACTGCGTGTGACAGAGAGAGATACTGCGCGCGCCTTTCGAGTGCGAGTGAGTGCGTCTCATATAAATGAATGGGCGGCAGTCTGGCAGAGCCGACAGTGAGAGCGGAGCGGCTGAATTGAACAACAAAAAAGTAATAGAAAAGCGCCGGTATGCGGCGATGTCTCTGGCGCAAACGGAACTATTTGCAGCGCGCTCACCGTTTGAGGCGCTCTTTTACTCTCTTTCTCTCTCTAACCCCCGCTTTTAATAACAAACTCACTCTGCCACCGGAAAAAAGCAATTGTGGCGGGGGTGTTTTTATGCCCTTTTCGTATTGCCGAGAGCGCCAACAAAAGCAAGACAGAGAGCTCTGCAGAGAGAGAGAGAGAGAGAGAGAGCGACTGTGTGTTTTAGGGAGCTGCGTTGACGTCAACGGCGCCGTCGTCGGCGTCTGACTCAACCGCAGCGCCACCACCCAAATTCGCACAGTGGAGCAGAAGTCGAGCATATTGAGGCAATTATTACTTCATTCATCAATTTTTCAGCCGTTCGCTTTTGGCACTTTTCGTTTGTTGTTCGCGTGTAAAACGACGTTAATTGCCGTCGGCGTTGGCGTCAACTTTAGCGCAGCCACTGCCGCTGGCGTCACTTCTACAACGACCGAACGCCTCCGTCGCAGACATCACTGCGGCTGCTGTCATCCAATTGTGTTCGCCAAAAAACTCAAAACAAGTGGTTTTTTGGCATTTGGCGAACGCGTGAGAAACATATTTGAACGCTCGGCAGCGCATCAGCCCATTAGCAGCGCTGTCGTCGTCGCTGTCGACGTCAGCATCATGTCCCCAGAAATATTTGGCATTCAGCTATCTTTGCATCAGCTGGCAGCTTGACGTCGACGTCGGCTTCAGCGTCAGTGCCGCTGTTGCCTTTGCCGTTGGCGTTGGCGTCGCTTCGAGACTTGACCGTTTTCTATGATGATTTTTCAGGCCAATTTTCGTGTGAATCTGATTTTTTTCATATATTTTGTTTTTTTTTTTTTTTTTGCCATTTGAGTTTTTTGTGTGTTTACAGCTCGTAAACATAAATCATATAAAATATAATGCGTTATTTCTGTCTACTTTGTTGTTTCATTTATTTATTTATTTTCTTTATTTATTTTTGTTTGGCTACAGACACGAAAAATAGTTGCAGTCAACGCGACGTCTCCGCCTTTGGCTGTGTTCAATCAACATGATCATTAAATGGAATTTATTGTAGTGCTCAACTGCGAATCGGCCATAAAGATAAGCCAAAAATTGTTTGGCAATGGAAAAGTCAAAAGCAACTGCAACGCCTGTCAGTTGAGTTGCCACCTCACTAACTGTTATACTGTCATACAACAGTTGGCAATAGAGCAGCACTGATTCAAGCTTCTGCTGTCGTAGAACAGTTAGTAATAATAGATGCGATATCTATCGTATATCGTATGCTCTGTAGCTATCATATTGACTGTTATACTGACATATGACAGTAATAGAACACCAGTGATTCATTTTTCAGAGACAGACTATTCCACTCTCATATAATTAATGTTGATAAGAACATTTGCGATATCTATCGTATATCTTTGGCCATGCAGCTATCGCATTGGCTTTGTAATGTCAACTAGTTGTCAATTTATTTCAAGGTTCTCCTTAGCCATAAGCGTATTTGTTGTTTCTAAATAAATGTCAAGACCCAAAATGAAATGAGACCCATTTCAGTAGAAACCCAAACAGACACATCACGACGAGCTGTGCAAATCTAAACGGAACAGACGATAACCTGTTTCGATGCGATTATTAGAAATTCCCATAACTCAAATTGACTCTGGGATTGTTTACCTGAGCTTAAGTGATTGATGTTTGCTATAAATGGACAACAACCTTGTACTGTATAACAGTTGGGTTAACCGTGGTTAACGTATGAATTTCCCAAAATGCGAGTTTCGTAGAACTTTAAAATGAAAATTCACATTTTAGATTTCGTTATCCATCGATGAGAAATGTCATTAAATGAAAATTGCGAAAATGTGAAAATTGCTAAAGAAAATCAGCAAAATTTGATAAAGATAAAAGTAATGCAAATACAAATGATATAAATACATATTCAGACTATCGTATATACATATAAATAAAAAGGGACAAAGACAATTTTCAATAGAAAATAACAATTTTATATGGCTTGCATTTTGTGTGCGCGTTAGCTAAAGCGAAAGGCAAAATAAAAAAGAATTTATATATCAGTTGATAAAAGACAACAGCAACAACAAAAGGCGAAGAAGAACGGGAACAACAACAACAAATGATAAATTCCAAACGCAAAGCCACCAAAGCCAATCGCACAGCGTGCGTGACAAGGACAGTGATAGAGGAGCTGGGGTAACAACAAGCAGCAACGGCAATAATAATAGCAAAACAAACGACCGACTGACAGCAGAGACGTCGCAGAGGACGCGGCTGCGGGCGCAAAATTTTCAATTGAAAACGAATGCGTATAAATGCGCCCATATGGTAAATATACAAGCCAAGGGATGAGACTAGCATGTGTGTGTAGTGTATGGCTATGTGTGTGTGAGTGTAGGGTGCTGCACGCAGAAAATTGCGACGTCGCGCTGCCTACGTCACTTGGTGCTTATCGGCCGCCTGCTTGCAATTTTCATGCTGGTGCGACAACGCCGACGTCGCAGTTAGCAGCGTTCTATTCGGTTGTTGCGAGGGTGTAAATGCGTTAAAATAATCAGGCGCTCGCTGCCGACGCAGCAGCTGTGCTGCCGCCACCACCACCACCACCATCATCCTCAGTCGCTGCGTTATGGGCTTTGTTCTGTTTGCTTAGCTGCTGGTAGCCGCCGCAAGCAGCGACGTCAACGTCAACGGCAACGCAGCATCTTTGGCTGTATTTATTCAACTGTTACGCAAAGCGACTGTTGGACTTGGACTGTTGCTTTGCACTACCCAACGCACAGTTGGAATTTTATGTATGCTCAACTTAGGCTGCCTTCTCCCTCTTCCTCTTCCTCTCCCACTTCTACTCTCACTCCCACTCACTCTCGCTCACACGCATACATACATACATCGTGTCATTCTTTTCCATTCTCTCAGTTTATCTTATGTGCATAACTTTGTTCATTTCGCCCCATTTCATTTCGTTTACAGGTTGTCAAGAAATTAAATGCTCGTTATTAGTTTTTCTTTGCTTTTGCTTCGTTTCACCATCATCCTCATCATCGTCATCGTCATCGTCATCATCAGCATTCCTATTCCTTATCAGTTGTGTGTGCGTTCACTCTGTATATATATATGTATATCTCTCTCTTTCTCACACGCTCTTGCTGTGGTGTGGCTCTGGGCGCTCTCACACTCCTTCTGCTACGTACGTAGCGTCGATGCCAACGTCAACGTCGACTGCGCTGCCAGCATCGCCAAATGCTTTGACGACTCATCAATTTGTGCGGCTTCTTTGCCAAAGGCGACTTACGCTGACCATTTGCTGGCTTAACGCGCCCAACACAAACTGCCTCTGCCTCTGCCACTGGCCACACCCCTGCCACTGTTGCCGTTAGCCTTAGCGTTAGTCGCTGCAAGACCCGCAGCCACCCACATAACGGCGCACTAATGCACACACACACACACACACACACATGTATAAACAAACATTTATTGCATGTTGCTTGTCAATCGTCAATCGACAATTCTAGCCATTATTGTTGTTGTTGTTGTTGTCGATGTCGTGGCTCGATGGCAAAATTATCGCAAAAAGGGAAAATAAATATAAATGTGTATCCAAATAAATGAGTAAGCATGTGTGAGTGTGTGACTCTGTGTGCCTGTGTGTCTGTTGTATAAATAAGCGATTTTTATTAGACTCACAGATAAAACTGTTAATGACAAACACATTTGTGCAATGTTTTGATGTTTTGTTATGATTTTTTTTGTTTTTGTATTTATTATTATCTATCTCCTGTTTGTATACATCTTCTTCCTTTGTTGTTGTTTTCCAGTTATTCTTTCTGGGTCAAAGCCATGTGGGAAAGGGGATGAGGATCAATAGCTTTTCGGATTACGGATTACCATTAAATCATCAGGCAAAGCCATTTGATTTCATAATACCTCACAAAATTACATTTTAGTTAATACTTAGATATATGTATGTGTATGTGTATATAATCTACATTATTATTGTATATATTGGATATATAATCTTATTGTTTTTCTGCCTTGTTTTCCCTTGCCTTTTATC